TCAGAGAAGATTAGCACAGCCACCTGCACAGGATGACACGCCAAATCGAGACGGCATAGCCGCTTTGTGGTTCAAAACAAGTTGCCAGGGCTGACCTACGTGCAGGTTATGAGCCCAACCTGTCGTTAGCCGCTGCTGAGGAGCCATGATGATGCGCAGGAGAGCCAGTGGAAGTCCTGAAGCTGACCGATCAGGCGAAGAAAGGCCAGAAGAGGAGATACTTGGGCCAACTGGGAGACCTGTGAGTTATGGACCTCAAAACCCTCAAATGTTGGAACTTGAAGATGAAAAGAAAGATGTAGAGAATGAAGAACCCAAAAAAGAGCTAGAGCCGCTGTTCACCGAAGAACAAGTGAGGCAGTTTGAAGAACTGCACAACAGAGCACCTCTGTTGTATGGAAGTCCACAGAGGACGCAGCTAGGAATAGAGGATGAAGCCAGGTCTTCAGGTTTAGCTTTGGAAAATGTGCAGTTGGAAAGACCGAAGTTTTTACCTGCAGAAAGACCTGCAGCGATGCCTGCTGGTACGCCCTCAGTGATTTATCAGCAGCAGATGATGCAGTACTTCTTCATGTTGCAGCAAGAGAACATGCAGCTGAAGATGGAACAGGAGTTGCTGAAAGAAAAGCTGAGGGAGAAGGAAGAAAGAAAGACCTCTGAGGTAGAGGTGCCAAATGGCGAAGGAGGAAGAAAGGCTAAGCCTGAAGTGGAAGGGTTTCAGACTCCTGAAAGCCAACAGCAAGGAAGCCGTGCAGCTGAAGACCGGGTTGTGAAGACAGAGAATGACCTGGAATCCGAGAGGAGAAGGCTGTACGAGTTGACACCGATGGAGCAATATGATGAATTGCAAAAGGTGATGGATGCTGCGGTGGGTTCAGTGAAGAAGCCACCTCCTGGACGAGACCTTCGAGGACCTTGGGAATCTCATCAACTTTCAGAAGGAGCACGACAGAAAGAAAGAGATGTTCCAAAGAAGGAAGCAGGTGAGAAAGGGACCGGAGGAGATGCCAGGAAGAACCAAGGAAATGCGTTGGAGCCAGCTGATGATGGAAGAATGCAAAGGCAGGTTGATGTCCTGTCTAAGATGATGTTGCACCTTCTGGAAAGTCAGCAATGTAAAGATGATGGAGAAAAGATGGAAGCGGTCAAACCTGGAGTGAACAAGTTACAGACCCTCCAGGAGCCGACCGAAACGGCCCCCATTGACTATGCCGACTGGTTGACCATGATAGAGCCGGTGATGACGGATCTGTCAGACAGTTCGCATGTTTGGTGGCGACTTGTGCTGGATGAATGCAGCGCATGGTACTCTGAGTATGTGAAGCTCCGACCACTTCAAAGAACAAGCTTTGAGATCGAGGCCTCTGAAGAACTGAAGAAGACGAAGTGGGTTCGAGTGGAACGCCGAGCTGTTTCCATGCTCATGGATGCCATACCCACTGGAGTGAGAGAAGAGCTTGTTGCTACCAAGTCACTTTCTCCAGTGAAGGTGATTGCCAAGTTGATGACCATCTACCAGCCTGGTGGACTACATGAACGAACTGTGATTCTGCGTCAGTTGGAGGATCCTGGCGAAGCAGGAAACGCAGTGACTGGAGTCCAAAGTCTTCGGAAGTGGTTGCGATGGTTGAGAAGAGCTCAGGATGTCGGGTTATGCTTACCCGATTCCACTATACTTTTGCGTGGTCTGACAAAGTTGATGAAGAAGCTGCTGAACAACAACCCAGAACTAGCTTTCAGAACCTCACTTGTCAGAAACACACTCCAATTGGATACAATTCCAAACCATCAAACTGTGAGGACGTACTCTGAACACCTACTGTCGGAACTGGAGCAACTGGTCCACTTGGAGAAAAGGTCAAAGGTGGCTAATGCAGAAAGAGCGACAGCTACAACCAGCCAGGTGAAGCAGTTGAACGCCGCAAGCAGTGGGAGCACAGAGGACAAGAATGTGAAAAAGAATGTGAAGGAATGCAAGTTCTTTCATCAGGAGGATGGTTGCAGACGTGGTGCAGCTTGCACTTGGGGACACAATGTAGAGCCAGGGGAGAAAAGGTGCTATGTGTGCGGATCCACCAAGCATTTTGCGAGGGAGTGTCCACGCAAGGACATTCAAAAAGACCCAAAGGTGCAGAAAGTGGAAAAGGAGGCTGAGGCCCCCAACAAAACCGCCAATAAGAGCCCTGCCCCTGCTGAGGCCCCAGCAGTGGCAACAAAGGAGGTTGAGACCACCAAAGAAGAAGTTGCTAGTGTTGGAGGAGACTCTCTGCGAAGCGTCATGGAAGAAGCTTCGAAGATGCTGAAGAGCATGGGAGTTGAAGAAAAGCCTACAAAGACCAGGGAAGAAATGACCAAAGGACGGATGCTGGAGCTACAGAAGGAGTTGCAACAGATTCAGGACGGATCGTGGAAGCCTAGAATCAATATGATGAAGACTGCCATGGTTGCACGAGTCAAGTTCGGCAAGAAAGCGTTGCTGGATACTGGAGCCACTCACGCTCTGAGGTCCAAGAGGAGTGATGAGAACCTGGTTGAGGGCAAAGAGTACAAGAAAGTGAGAGTGAACCTTGCAGCTGGAGGTTCAAAGACAATGTGGATGACGGATGGAGGAACCCTGGTACATGAAGAACCAGGGATGGAACCGATACTACCAGTTGGTCGTCTAGTACGAGAACTGGGATGCAGCTTTGAGTGGAAAGATGATGAATGCTTTCTTTTCCACCCCACCAGGGGACAGATAGCAGTGGAGGTCGAAGAAGGATGTCCACAGATCACCCAGGCAGAAGCGGAAAAGATGGTGGATGAACTTGAAGGAATGATGTCGCTTCGAAGCATGAAAAAAGTGGCATATGATGATGCATGTTGGGGCGCAGAATGGATGGCTGAGTTGGTAGAGAAACATCCAGTACTGGCCTCAATACCCTCACTTGTCAAGGACAACCTAGTGGAAGTGCCGGCCGAAGACCTTTCGCTTTTGAAGGCCAACAGAAGAACCAGGAGACGATGGATTGAACAAGGGGTCACTGTACATTTGTACGCCGGGCCAGAAGAAGGCCTGACTCTGAAGAGAGCCTACTTGGAGAAGGGAGGTGATGGCAAGAGGTTGATCGAAATAGACGTGAAGAGAGGAGCACATCATGACATGTTGAGAATTGGAGGGATGTACAGTACCCTCCTCAAGCTGGCAATGCTAGGAGCCATTGATGCAGTGGTTGGTGGCCCAAATTGCCGCACACGTTCAGTGCTGCGACACACACCAAGAGAAGGCTTCCCAGGACCATCGAGGACGGCGGGATACCCTTGGGGACTTCCAGATGCTCCCCCTGATGAACAAGGAAAGTTGTTGCAGGACGATGCATTGATGCTGAGGATGCTGACCCTGTACATGGTTGCACAGATAGCGAGAGATGCAATGGTGAAAGAAAGAAGCAAGAGGTGTTTGAAGGCCAAGGTTGGATTTCTGTTGGAGCAGCCAGCAGCACCGGAGTGGTGTCCAGAATGCGCTTCGTGGTGGAGAAATCGAACATGGTTGCTGTTCAAGCACTACTACCAGATGGAAGAAGTGACGTTTTACCAAGGAGATTTTGGAGGTGAAGCGAGAAAGCCAACAACATGCGGAACAAACCTTGGGTTTCAACCACCAGACCCACTAGTACATGGTGAGAGGAGCAGAGAACAAGGTCCAGAACTGGATTCCAGTAAGCTCTCGAGGTGGGCTCCTGGGATGATGCATGAAGTTGCAAGGCTTTTGATAGAGGAAGTAGAAGGAAAAGAAGTTCGACTGAAGAAGTTGTCGTGGACTGCCCACGTTGACAATGGACATGTGCCGTTTCGGCGCGATTGCGTGGTTTGCCAGAGGTCAGCAGCGAGACAAAGGCCGCATAGAAGACATGATGATCCAGAAGCGCATTGTTTAGCTGTTGACATTTGTGGCCCATTGAAGTGGGGTCAGGACGTGGATGGTGAAGAGAAGAAATACCTTTTGGTCGGCTCCTACACGTGGCCAGTGGAAGGTAAGGACTCTGAAGAAAGCTTGGGGATGTTGGATGAGGAGACTGCTGAAGATGATGAAATGCTTCCGGTTTTGGAAGATGAAGAGGCAGAGCAAAGGGAGGCGTCAGCGTCTTCTTCCTCGCCACCCAAGAAGGAGGCTCAAGCAGAGGGTTTACCTTCAAGACCAGCATCGAAAAGGAAAGGGGAGGAAGAGAAGCCTCCTGAGGATGCAGAAAGTGCTGAGGAGAAGACTGAAGAAGGGAAGCTGGAAGAAAATTTGAAGACAAAAGGAATGCTGAAGCTGATGACATGTGTGCCATTAGCCTCAAAGCATGCGCTGGATGTTTTGTCAGGAGTCCAAGAATTGGTGGTGAAGCTCAGAAGGTATGGCTACCCAGTCGTACGCCTGCACACGGACTATGAAACAACCTTTGTCAACAAGCACTTGAAGGGATGGTGCTTGAACCGAGGAATTGTGAGGACATCGTCCACCCCAGAAGAACACCAACAAAATGGAAGAGCAGAAGCTGCAATAGCTTCTATCAAGGGAAGGGTGCGACGTCTCTTGCACTCCTTTGGCATGGAGACGAAGTGGTGGCCGATTGCAGCACGACATGTGGTAGAGCTGGAGAGAAGAAGGTTTGAAAGGATTGAGGACAAACTGCCAAGGTTTGGACAGAAGATAGTGACAAGAAAGCGGAAATGGAAAAGAGGAGATGAGTTTGAAACGACAGCACAGGAAGTCACTTACCTGACTCCAATCCCAGAAGTTTCAAAAGGACATGCGGTTATGGAAGAAGATGGAAGTTTCAAGGTGGTGAGCTGCCTGATCCAGGACTGCAAAGAGCCGCAGGAAGAAGAAAAGAAGTTGGAGTTAGAAGAAGTGATTCAAGAAAGGGACCCTATGGAAGCGCGAAGAAGACTGAGGAAAAAGATGTCAGTCGCTTCTTTGAGGATTCCAGAAGAAGAATTTTGCAGAAAGTATCAAGCTGTTCCAGGCAGTTTTGGAGCAGGATGAAGCGATGTACAATGAAGACGAAGAGGTCATTCCGGCAGTGATGAAAGGGATGATTGCCATCAGAAAGGAAATGGCGGCACTGCAAGAAGGCCGACTTGAAGAAGAAGTGCTACAGACCAGGGTAGTTTCCAACCAGGAAGTGTATCAAAACAAAGATGAGTGGGTTGGAGCTATCAGAAAGGAGATTAACAATTTGGTGCAGAAAGGAGCAGTCAAGAGGCTGACCAAAGAGGAAGCTGCGTACTACAAGAGAGAGCATGCAGACAAGTTGGAGGTGGTGCCAGGAAAAGCAGTACACACGATAAAAGCACCAGATGGTAAGAAGAAATGCCGCCTGGTGGTGTGTGGGAATCACCTTCAAGGAGGAGACAAAAAAGAAACCAAGGAGGAACATGCCAACTACTATGCAGGAGGGGCAGACACAATCTGCCTGCGACTTGCACTGTCCATGGCAGCACGCTATGGGTGGGACATTGCAGGTTTAGATGTGGTTGCAGCGTTTTTGAACGCGCAGCTGGGGGACGTGCATGAGAAACCACAACCAAGAGAAGACCCAACAAGAGACAGAGGCCGCATTGTGTTGATGCAACCACCGCGGGTTCTGGAAAGACTAGGTCTGATCGAAGTTGGAGAGCTTTGGCTAGTGGAACGTGCCCTCTATGGACTGAGAGAGTCGCCTCGCCTGTGGAGTGATCACAGGGATGGAACCCTACATGGCATGGAAATACAACAAGGAGGCAGGACGTTGAAGTTGCTGCCGAGTTTTGCAGAAGAAAACCTTTGGCTGATCAAGGATACCAGCCTTAGAGATGAAGGTGGAGTGCAAGGATTGGTTTTGATTTACGTGGACGACATGTTGGTCATGTCGAACCCGGAGATCACCAACATGGTGGTGGAAAAGATACAGAAGACATGGGAAGTGACCAAACCTCAATGGGTCACTGAAACAGAGCCAGTTCGGTTCTGCGGGATCGAGATCTACAAGAACAACGAAGGGGATTACTTTGCGGGACAGCAGTCCTTTGTGAAAGAAGTGCTGAAGCGCCACAACTGCAAGGAGTTTGCGGCATCCCCTTTGAAAGACAACTTCGAGCCGGAGGAGGAGCTAGATAGGACAAGAGAGGAGATCCAACTGGCCCAAAAACTGGCCGGAGAACTGCTGTGGTTGGCCGGAAAGACCCGACCCGACCTAACCTAGCTTACACTACCAGCCGTATCTGTTCAAATGCAACCAGGTCTCCAAAATGGTGTGCAGGAGCAGCTGCACACACCATGAAGTACCTCAACAGAACCTGGGGTATGGGACTGTACTTCAGGAAGAAGGGAGGGAATGTCCTGGAAGTGGCAACAGATGCCAGTTTTGCACCAGGTGGTGGTTTGTCGCATGGCTCAGTGGTAGCAAGCATGGGAGGTACGCCAGTGATGTGGAGGTCCTCAAAACAGCCTTTCCCCTGTTTGTCTACCGCAGAGACTGAGCTGGTAGAAGCCATCGAGGGAGTCATAGTTGGAGACTCTTTAGCATGCATAGTGGAGGAGTTGGAAGGAAGAGTGGATAAGCAGCTGGTATGTGACAACATGGCAGCCGTGGCTTTGTCCACCACGCGGACAGGAGCTTGGCGCACACGGCATTTGAAAGTACGTGCGACACACCTCAAATGGAGGGTGGAAGCTGGAGACTGGAAGATGCACCATCGACGGGGCACAGAGCTCGTCGCAGACATGGGTACAAAGCTTCTTGGTGCCAACAAAACGAAGGATCTGTCAAAGAAGATGAATCTGGAATGGCTACCAGATGTAGTAGCTTTCTCCAGAGCGAAGGAAGAAAGGATTGAGAAAGAGGAAGAAAAATTGGCAGAGGAACAGGACAGAGAACCAGCTGTGACGGTATCCAAGAAGGTCTTTGCAGGAGATATGGAAAAGGTGGTAAAGATCGCCACCCTCATGGCGGTACTTCAGAAGGTAGAAAGAGTATATGCCATGGACAAGAGTGAGACGGAAGAAGGATCAGAAGTTTTGGCGGCATTTGGCTTGTTGATGATGATCCTTGGAGTGGTTTTGTACAAGTTGGTAGAAAGAATGTGGAAGATCTTTCATGAGAAGAGAGATCACGAGGAATGCCAAGCTCGCGCCCTTACGCGCGACTCTCGCGCCCTTATGCGCGACTCTCGCGGCCTTATGCGCGACTCTCGCGGCCTTACGCGCGACTTTCGCGGCTTCATGCGCGATCGAGAACGTCACCAACTTCATGTACGCGAAGAAGAAGAAGAGATAAGTTGTGAAGAAGGAGAACAGACCACCGTGAAAGTGGCGACTCTGAGGATGAGAAAAGCTCAAAATAAAGGTTCCAATGAAAAAAGACAGGAAGGAGGAAGCTCCGCTACCAGAAGCGACAGTCACACAACCGAGAAAGGCACGGAGGAACGACATGACAAAAAGGGAGCACAGACAGTGCCTCCTATGCCCGCTCAAGGACGGAGCTGTGGGAACCCTGGAGGAGAGGGAGCCCAGTCTGCTCGTCCTGGACGACGCTGTGGGAACCCTGGAGGAGAGGGAGCCCAGTCTGCGGGTCCGAGCGGAGCAGTGCCCACTCCTGGATGGCGCTGTGGGAACCCTGGAGGAGAGGGAGCCCAGTCTGCGGGTCCGAGTGGTGCAAAGCCTAACCAAGGGGAGGGAGCTCGGTCTGCGCGTCCAGATAGTGCAGAGAAGCCGAACCTGGTGGGGCCAATCATCACACCAAATGGGAGGAGATTCCATAGAAGCAGTGGATGCCCGACGTTGGCACAGTCTTGGAAAGGAAGAAATCCGCTTTGTGGTGAATGTGGCGACACCTACTTGGTGGCTGACGTGATGATGATGGATAAGAACCAGTTAGTCCATACGAAGAAGAAGTGCCCTAAGGTTGTGGGAGAGCTGATCGGATATGACGCATGCCAAAGGTGTGCTTAGCGGCTTGGGCCTAGAGAGCTCAAAATTTTCCAGAAAGCAGGATTGCATGAACATGTCAATCCTGGGAGGAGTGCATGGATGTCAGACACTCCAATTTGAAACGTGAAACAGCATGTTCAGTTGTGTAGGTTTCAGTCTTGCTGAGAAAGTCAGAGAAGATTAGCACAGCCACCTGCACAGGATGACACGCCAAATCGAGACGGCATAGCCGCTTTGTGGTTCAAAACAAGTTGCCAGGGCTGACCTGCGTGCATAAAGTGATATGCTAAAATATATTATTTATATAATTTTATAAATTTATGTAAAATTTTCCATATCTAAAGGTGGTTATAATAAGAAATTTATGGGAATGCGGAGCCTATTATTCTTGTTCAGGCCCCGCACAAGCAGTAGAATATTTCAAATATGGAAATGCGCTCCCCTGTTACCTCATGTGTGGTCATAAAATTTTGAATAAGTCCAATACCACCAGCCTCGCTTTCAAAATCCAAGCATGTTAATCTTTCGAAAAATGAGAATCGAATCCTGGGTGGGCCAGCTGTGCATCTGCAAAGAAAAGCTACACGTGTTTGCGTGTTGGCAGTTTGCCTCAAGGCTTCATTTAAGAAGTAAATAGCGATTAATTAATATGTCTGCTTGGCTGTTTGAAGCCTACCTTCTGAAGGAGCCGGGTATTGCAAAATGACAAGACGTCATGCTCTCTGCACCAACTAATTTTTCTGAAAGTTTGCACGGCCCCCAGATAATCTGGACACGTGAGACTATTCCCATTCCAAGTACAAGTCAGTTGCTTGAATCTGAACGCCGAACGCTCCATGGATCCATACTCTTCTTGAGATGTGTATATATTCACCCCGTCTTGGGATGTCCCTGGGATGTTGCCATATGTATTGACCTGGTCAGACAAGAGCCAAGAGCCCTTGATTCCACGGAAACCGTTCCGCGCCCTGAGCTGCTTTGACCCACAGAACCTGAATTAAATGATGTTTCTTGACATTCAATGAACTTCAATGCTTGTCCGACCAAAAGGCAAATCATGGCAAATCGCTGCGACCAGTTGCATTTCGCATCACTGGCGCAGTCGGGTTCAAAGAGATCAAAGCAGAGCCACAGCCGTAGAGTTGTCACATGAAGATTCATGAAGTAGCACCATTAGTTTAGTTCCAACCCCATTGAAGGAGACGGACTTTTATTAGACCGATTAAAAATGCTTGACTGCTCCGCAATGCTCCGCAAGTCTATGCTTAAATACAGCAGCAGGTTTTCTCTTGTGCTAAACTTTCAACATCTTTCAACCAGTCTGCCACTTGAAATGCTGTATGTAGTGCTATGTGTGATATAGGCCCCCGCTGACCGAGTGATCAAGCACGCTTCAAAGGTCCAGGGGCTACATCAGAAAACCCTTGCCATCCGCTCCAGCACCTCAGGTGCTGAAAATGTCGAAAATGTATGAAAATGTCATGCCTTCGGGGTCCCAGCACCGGCTGGTCAGCTGTGGCAGTTGCTGCTGCAAGAACAGCAAGGCCGGCTGGGCCGGGCTTCCAGGAGCCGGTCATGGCACGGTCATGGGTCACGTCGTCCACTGGTCTGCTCTTGTCTCAATCTCCTGCGATCATTGAAGGTAGCCAAGGGATGAAAGGGCAAAATGAGCAGCGGCCAAACTCGTGTGGAAATCCCGCGGGTGCTGTTTGGTTGTTGGGGGATTTCAATGATTCATACTTCGAAGGCATCCTCTTTACGTGTTGAATTTTCTGCACTTTTTGCCGGGGTTACTTCAATTCAGCGGCAACATGCACGTCCTGCTTGAGTAGCGGCAGCTGTTGCGTCTTGATCGCGATAGAACCCCGAAAGAATAGGGTGGATCATGCCAAACAGCGAAATAAACAACAATGTTACTGTTACAGTGTTACAGGGTCTTCACTTGTTTGAGCAGTGAGCAGCATCGTTTTCCCAAGTTTGGGTGGCAAACAACCGTATTTACAGGACGCTCTTGAGACTCTCTCTCTCTCTCTCTCTCCATCGCGGGCTCTTGAGACTTACGCTATTATAGCTTTTTGCAAAATAGATTGTTCATGCATATCCAATACACACGAAACATTCACATGCTGCATTTGGTTGAGCTCCAGTTTAATAGATTTTGAACATAGTGACTACTCTTTGGTGAAGGACTTTCTGGATTTCATGCCGGCCAGGTCCTTTTGCTGTTCGCTGACAACCCCAGAGTGGGTTCCTTAGCACTTTGAGGTCTGAACTTTCAGGAAAGGATTGAGGATATCAGCAAGCATGTCTGGAACCTCCTTGAAAGTCATCGCTGGAAGGTAGATCACATGGTTGCCAATCAAATAATTACTTGGCAAATCTAGGCACCCTGTGAACATGGAAAAATAAAGGGAACTGACATGCTGACATGATTGCCCTGCATGTTGAAAGTTCAGATCTTCAGTTTTTGGTATTAACATTCACCATAACTATCATGCTGGATCCTGGACAACCCCCATGATGGCGCACAGGGGCACGTCACCACAACGAGCATCCGAATTTGTCGCGAGATACCGGCTTTTTGTCCTTCTTGATTCTGGACTCCTCGGTAGAGATGTGTGGCAAAAAACGGGCAGGACGGCCAAGGGGATATCAATGGTGATGTTCACCGAGCAAACTGGGGAGATAAACAAGCAAAACCTGGTGGCTAGTTGAGCCATCCATCTTAAGAATTGTTCAAGTGCTTAATCGTGCCAAACGGTCAGTTTCTCATGGAACGAATCAAGGTTCCTCTGTGAAGTGTCCCACTAAGTTTCAGGCCCTAAACGCCGCCGAGGATTGCGAGTGAGTCGGGGACAGCGCTTCAGACTCCGAAAACCAAACACCACCACGTGCAGCGGTCATAGCTTTCCTGAGCCGACAAGATCAGAGGGTCCATACCTGGCAGCTTCCTCGGGCTTTGATGGGCCTTGATGGGCCTCATGGGCCTGGGCATGCCTGGCACCAAAGAACCCACCCAATTAACAAAATGAATATATCAATATGATCAATTGCATGTGACTATAAAAAAGATTAATTAAAGATTAAATTCCCTACATAATAATTACCCTCTGGTAATTTAACATAGCTATAGAAAATCACCATTTTTAATGGGAAAACTCACTACAAATGGCCATTTTCAATAGCTACGTTAAATTACCAGAGGGTACATCTAAATTAACTACAGTGCATATACTTCGCCACGAGGCAAACGGCCTTCCAGCTCAGCCTGGGTTGCCGCATCCACCTCGGGCCGAGCGTCAGAACCACAACAGCATTGTTTTGTTTGGCTGCCACGCGCTTCAGATTTTTGGAAAGAAGTATGTGTATATATATATAACTATATATATATATAAAACTATATATATATAAATTATATAACATCATAAACCATCCATAATCATGGATCCATCATGATTAATAGTAATCAATAGCGATCATACACTTCCATGCGTTTTTTCGGTGTCCACACCTCTTTTTTGGCAATGTTTGAACTTTGAAGCGCACCAGCAGATTTGGAGATTTGCCACCCTGGCCACTCTCATCCCTTCTCCCTATCCCTAAGGCCCCTAAGATCCCTAGGACCCCGCGGACAACACACCTTGAAGTCCCGGAGCTTCTCTGCCACTTCCTGCGTCAAACTTAGGCCCAACTTGGGATGGCCAAGATACGACCAAGACCCTACGCATACCTACGCCGCTGCAAATGATCAAGCTCATCAAAATGAGTTCGGGCCTAAAACGTCTACCCGGGCCATAATCAGTTCAAGCCGTCTTTGTTTTGATCTGTCATGCGTAAAAACGACAGAAAAAAGACCTGCAGCAAGAATGGGAAGTGCAACCTGCGCAGCAGCGCTAACAATATTGCACATAATCCTGAACATTGATAGTTACTTCTATCCTTTTCTTGTTTGGATCTATTTGGAGGTTGTGGCGGGGGTGCACCTTCGGGTCAGTTTTGGCAAAGTTTCTACTCTTTGAGACTTGTGGGTTAGTTGCATCTCAGAAACCACCTGAAGACAATCTTGGTGAAGTTTCTATTGTTCGTGGGTGGGCTGCAGGGCTGTACCTGCAGAACCTGAGGGCCTGAGGGGAACCAAGCTTCGCAAGACTTCGAATGCTTAGGGGTGCTCGCAAGTCCGGGAGCCAACTTTTTGGGGCGATGTTTCTGTCTTTTTCTGTCAGGCAATGTGAACAACATATGGAAGCTAATCCGCCGACCCCGGCCTTCGCCAAGGCCGGGGCGGCGCCTGGGACCACCGCAGGTGTGGACCTTGTCCTCTTCCAAGCCCTCCAAACCTTTACCCTTAAGCAGCTTCCCCAACAGGCACCCCAGGGCCAGGGCCACAGCAATGACTTTCTATGAGCTTTCAAAGCTGCCGTTTGCCAGCCCGCAAAGGCTCCAAACGCCTCCAAAATTCCAAACCCCCAGGGCCAGGGCCACAGCAATGAAACTTTTTATGAATTTCAAAGCTGCCGTTTGCTAGCCCGCAAAGGCTCCAAACTTTCCAAAACAAAATTCCAAACACCTTCCCCAACAGGCACCCCAAGGCCAAGGCCACTTCCCCAACAAGCACCCCAGGGCCAGGCCACAGCAATGGCTTTCTTAGGCTTTCAAAGCTGCCGTTTGCCAGCCCGCAAACCCTCCAAAACTCTCCAAACCCTCCAAACCCTCCAAACCCTCCAAAACCCGCCAAACCCTCCAAACACCGTCCCCAGCAGGCACCTCAGATCCACAGCAATGACTTTCTTGATGCTTTCCAAGCTGCCGTTTGCCAGCCCGCAAAGGCTGCAACCCCTCTAAAATTCCAAACACCTTCCTTAACAGGGGGCCAGGGCCACAGCAATGACTTTCTATGGGCCTCAAAGCTGCAGTTTGCAGCTT